AGTCTAAAATAGACCAACGTATAAAACGAGCCAGCCATAAATGATTTAAAGCACTTGAAAATACACATATACGTAAGGTATATATTTAACCGTGGTTCAGTTAGCCTTCAACTGGAGCAGCAGCTACACTCCCGTTCTTACACAAGTCACACGTACACTGAGCTTGAGGCTTTCAGCCACTCTGCCACCGCTCAGCCACCTCAGTCTCACTCACCTCAGCCCCCCCCCCCTTCTCCCCCTCCCTTTACAGTTACCTCTCTCTCACACACACACACGCGCCTGAGTTGGAAATTAGACTGAACGATCATTTCTGAAATATAAACACTCTTGCCTTAGCGACACTTCAATAAAATACATTGGATTTTTTTTACAAATAGATAACAAGCTCAGGTATATCTACACCATCAGTTAATAGCATATTGTCACGAAAAAGCAAAATATGTGAAGTTTAGGGGGTGCACTGACTTAGTCGAGGTTCATTGGAATCGGATCCTTCTCTCGGGTCTTGCAGTTCCAGCTGATTCATGATATATTCATTCACTTTCCCAGATTTATGTTTTACTTGACAATTCCCGGAGTGTAATAATGTTACTTTAACACTGTAACAGTACACTGTGCATGAAATAACCCTCATATACACGCTTAAGTAATTTATCATTTCAATGTGGTTTGTGCAGCTGCCTTTACTTTTATTATTTCACCACTTGTCAGTCGTCCAGGCACTTGATCTTTTTAGTGTTACAATAGGAGGAAACCGGAGGAAACCGGAGTATCCGGAGGAAGCCAGTAATTCCTGGTAGGGTCACACACTGGATATCACTGTGGGGTTCAAGATGTTTGGTTCACACTCAGGATTGGATGGAGAAAGGAAACTCACAATGTGCTCTCTATATACATGTTGTATTGGATGTACAATGCAGCTTGGTGCTGGGAAGGCAGCATGGTTACAAGCGTGATGTAGAGAGAGCTGGTTGGTGAGGACGCTCAGAGAAGGACAGCTTGTGGGTCGCCATGCTCGCCAGCGGGAGAGAGGACCGCCAGGCAGGCGGAGGAGCGAGGGCCGCCAGGCAGCGGCAGAGGAGGTGTTGCTGGCTGCGGCTGTAGGTAGAGAAAGAGAGCAGATCACCACGAGGTCAGGTCTTAAATAGCGGGGGTAGGCGTGGCTTAGCAGTTGACCCCCGCTCCGTGGTGTATGGCGGCGCTGGTTGACCTAGACCACGAGGCATACACTGGGGAATTGGTGGGGTCGGCTAGGCAGCGACAAACAGCGTTTGTAGGGGAGAATTCCACTACAACACCCTCCCGCGTGTGTCCGGACCAAACATACGTGCGTTAAGGTACTAGTGGTACAGTATTACCACTTGAGAGAGTATAAACCTTTCACCCTTGATATTCATGATTCTAAACCACTAGAGTGCTCATCATATATGCTGATATATATGCCACAGAAACTCTAGCATATTCACCCATTTGTGGATGACCTTGCTGATATTATGAAATTTAAACAGAGCTGTCTCTCAGAGTAATTCCATGTTGAATTGGTTGGTTAAATTAGGTTGATTTGAAAATGAACCATTTAATTTATTTGAATTTTTAAACTGAGGATGTTCTGAATAGGCAACTTAGCAGCCTTGGGGAAATATTCCTTGCTCATATGTGACAAAACAGCTGCAGATTTGCAGTGGAATATGCTGCAGAGTTCTGGTAAAAACAGTTACCGCTGAAAGATGTAAATGCAGAACCAAAGTTCCTCAATCTCTCTGAAGTAATAGGATTTGTCGTAACACTGCCACATTCTAAGGCATCTGTAGAACGAATCTTTCGTCATTTACGACTTATAAGACGGATATAAGAAGTTCTTTAAAGGGTACAAGCCTGGTGAGCTTTATTACACACTGAATATGGAATTAAACAAAAGGGTATATCCAGTTATCAGTTGTGTAGAGATGGGAAACTTCAGGCAGACCTGGGAAATGTAGTTAGTAATGCAACATATGAGGAATGTAAGGAAATGCTACTGAAAAAAATTTAGTAGCCCCTTTCTTTTTCAACTCAGCGCCAAACACGGAAGCATGCTGATTTTTCATTATTGCCTTCATGACTCATGTATTAAAGACAATCTGTTGGGACCGAGTCAGAGGTTGATACTCTTTGTAGTGGCTGTTGTCATCACTGGTTACTGCATCATAATGGTGTATTGTGTGGCACTTCCCTGATCTTTCAGGTGTGCCCAGTGTTCATCGAATGCCTCTCGTTGCATGGTGTGTAAGCGAGATTTGAGATGGTTGAGGGAGAGGGCGAGGGTGGCTTCAATGTCCTCTTCTTGTGTCATTTCTTTGGCAACAGTGTCACAGGCAGCTACTGTATTCCTATTTGTGACGGGATCCAAATAAACTTGACACAGATATCATCAGTTTGCTCTAGCCCAGCGATGGCGGTTAGGGTGTGTTGGGCGGCAGGGGAGGAGGGAGAGGGGTACTCAAGCCTCTAGCGCAGAAGTGCTGTCACTGATGATAAGGAGGCTCTGGCGTTCAGTGCGGGCATAGGTTGCACCTTCAAGAACACCCAGGAGGATGACTATGCTCTCATTGGAGGAGGCCCAATTATGGACCCTGATTTTCCTGCGGGCTGGCGCTTAGGGATCCACACAGCTGCCCTTGCACTGCCCCATGTGGTAACAGACCCATTACAGTAGACAAGGAGAGGGGGTGGGAGGTCGTGAGAGAAGAAGTAGCATCGTCAAAATGCTCAAGGCATCTAAGTTTGAGTATATATTGTAGTTGGGTGGATTTATGACCAGGGAAGGTGTCGACAACCACGTCAACACTAGGGGAAGTCTATAGCGATAGAGGCAGATGAGTGTACTAGGGGGGGGAGAGGTCAAGGAGATGTAAAGATGATAACGCAGGATGTCAGCAGCAGTGTGGCCGGGCCAGTGTCGAGAGGAGGAGGGAAAGGTGGTGTGGCCAGGCCGGCACAGAAGAGTAATAATATGTGAGTGCAGTGAGCGCAACAGGGGAATCAATTGCTCACTGCAAAGGAGTTTGACACTAAGGATGGCATTGAGGGCAGTAATTCGATCACAGGGAGCAGGAGCAGTTCCCGCTGCATGACTTTAATTCTGGTGGTCATAGGGAAGCTGAGGATAAGTCTCATTGCTCTGTTTCTGGATTTTCTCTATTTTTTTTTCCTTGCACTAGGAGGCAACTGCATGGACGGGAGAGGCATAATCTATGACAGCCCTGACGATGGCAATGTACATGAGACCATGGGTGAGGGACTGGAGGGTCAGAGGGGTCTGATGCCGGGAGTGCGAGATGAACTTGGTTTTAGTGTGCGAGATGACAAGCCCGAGTATTTGCCAGGTCCTGGCGAACGTGGAGAGAATAGGTTGTTCATGTTGCATGGAAGTAATTTGGAGATCATCAGCGTCGCTATTGAAAGCGAGCTCAGAGTAGGGCCAAGGACAGTCCTGAGGATATGCCCAAAGCAAGGGGCCTGATCAGAGTAGTGGCCCTGGAAATGGAAACAGGTCAGCAATCTATGTGAGGAATTTACCCTTCATGTCCACGTGAGTGAAGCCCTCAAGGATCACTTCACCATTGGCACCCTTGAAGTCAACTAAGAGGGAAGTTTTGGCAAAGGTGTTCCTCATGTAGTGGGCAATGCAATGAGCAGTACTGTTCCCAGGGCATAACCCATATAGGTCAAGGTGCAGGCGAGCTTCAATTTTCCAGTGAGGTGGTGGCAAATCATGCATTCCATCATCTTGGAAGAAGCAGGAGATGAAGGAGATTGGACGATATTCATCATGTCTGCCTAGTTTAGGGACAGGGATGGTGGTGACAGTCTTCCATGCATGGGGCAGCTATCCAGTATCATAAGAGGGGTTAAAAAGACAGAGGAGGGGATCACCAGGGGTGGCAACAAAGGCATTTAGCACATCATATGTGATGCCGTCTTCACTAGGGTCAGTGGAACAGCCACACTTAACAGCATTAAGTAATTACACCGAGTGAAAGGCACATCAATGTCTGCAGGTAGGTCTTGGTACTCGGAGATGCATTGTCAGTATTGTGGTTGCAGAGCGAAGGTGAGGTCACGTACAGCAGGAGGCAGCCTCCTGCCATGTCTGGAAAAGTGCCTCAGCACAGCCAGCAGGTCTAGGGTAAAGCGTGGGCCTGGCATTGTTGCCCATTGTGACACCCCTGCTTAAGAATATTCGCATTGTTTAACCTGACAGTATCCATTGAAAATGTGATTTCCAAAGCATTCCTCGAGTGATTATTTTACAATATTGCTTTCTCCGATTCTGGACCTACACCTTTTCTCCTGTGTGGTATTACTCTCCCTGATGCTGGACCTACACCTTCCCTCCTGTGTGGTATTACTCTCCCTGATGCTGGACCTACACCTTCCTTCCTGTGTGGTATTACTCTCCCTGATGCTGGACCTAAGTTATACTAAAAACTGGAATTGGTGGTATACTGGACTGGGAAATATTGTGAAAAATAAAAACCATAAGATTAACAATAGAATTACTGTACTACAACAAATTGGTAAAACTAGATAGGCCCTTTGTGAGTGGGAAAGGACAGCATAATATAATTTTTTGTTTTTAAAAAAGTTGTAACTAAAATAAAATTGCTTTGTCAATCATGTATGGAAATTGGTCTATGACTGTGGGCTGTGTTGGTGTTTAAATTGATTGATTACCTTTTCCTGTCAAGTTTAAATTTTTAAATATTTGAGTGATTTTTTTATAATATTTGTACCCTGTATTTCTATATTCCTGGAATATATGGAGGTTGCCACAACATGAAGATCCTTGTGTTGCAAAACAAAAAAATATATATTTTCCGATATAAAGATGAATTTCTGGTGGTTTGTGGGGTAGGTGGGACAATGTGGAGGTGGGTGAGAGACATTATTAAATTTTCATACAAATATATATTGGTTCATGATGAACACAGACAGTGCAGGTATATAACACACATAAGGACAACCAACCAATAGTTTTACTATTATTTACATATACTGTACAGGCAAATTATATACAAAAAATATACTGACATTATATAACTATAACTTTGAATCTGAGGCTTTATTAAAAGAAACGTAATTGTGACGATGAGTGAGAGTAGTGGGTTCATGGGTGCGGAGAGTGGGTGGAGGAGGATCCTCTTCCTGGGGACGGTCAAACACAGTAGATATGTGGATATCATTTCTCTGTTGCCGTTGAGGTCTTTGTGACTGTTGTCGTATAGTTGCAGAAGTCTGTCCCCAACCTTGAAGTTTTTTGCCATAGTAACTGTAAAATGTAAAGTTTTTCATGTTAAGTTACATAGGGTAGTGTCATCTTCAGTTTAATGTGAAATACTGTACAGCAAAAGTGAAAGAGGGTCTCATGGACCTAACAATATGTTAGGGGCAGGGTAAATACAGTACACTGCATACTAGGCTTTCAGTATTGCACTTGACTGCCTTCACTTTGCCAACTGTAAAGTTAGGTGCCCATTCAGAGGTGAGTGGACTCGGGGTGTCCTGGGCATGAACCAGTGACCCTTAGGACACGAGGTGAACACCATATCCACTTAGCCAATGCACCCCGAAAATACAGTAACATGCATCAAAGTTGTGCTACTGTGATTTGTAAGCCTTATTTTCACAACATATTAAAAATCCTTTTGTTACCATATGTAGTTTCAATAACCAGTTGAGTAAAGAACTTACCCAAATCCTTTTTTATCATGAGGATGTTGTCCATCATTGTCCAAAGCATAGGGGAGGCCCACAGCATCCTTTCCTAATCCCTGGCCATCCTGCCAACCCTGTGCTTCCAACAGTCGGCGACCAAATCCAAGAGTGTGTGCTTCAAACTTTCCTATTGGTGGTGGTGCTGCAGGTCCTGTAAGGCAAGAAAATAATGCTTTACTTCTTTTTGTTTTATTGATCCAATAAAATTTTTTATTAAGGTAAATTTACACAACACCAATACAATGCAGACTACAGTAAGCAGATAGATGATGAACAAATACTGTATAAGTATACTGAACTGTATACCTACATTGTCTATATAAAGTTCCCTAATTAGTTTACTGCAATAAAACAAACATTGATATTCGTGGGAACTATTTCTTCCTACCACGATGAAACTTACCAATTTTCCGACTTCTTGCTGATGACGATGATGTGTTCTTCAATTTTCTCTCTCTTTCATTCTGACAGCCAGTTTTTGTGAAGGCTGAATGACTAAGTTTCCCCGACCTAAGTTTATGACTGTGCAACATTGCAACACTATCTTGAGCATCACGATCACCAGCACCTGAAAAATGGTGTTCTGTACTCTTTATATACAGTAATCACATAAACCAAAAAATTATTAGGATAATTTCACTCCATAACGGGTATTGTCATAAAAATGCATGGGGAATTAAGTTATCAATGCCAGATCATCAACACACTCCCTTTCCCAACATTAAAAGGTTCTGCTGAATCCACGCCACCTTGTGCCATGCCCTTGTACCATGTGTCACCCACTACACTCAGTCATAAAATGGGGTTACAGGTTACAATTCTCCATTTTTGACAATGGACATTAGCCAACCAGATGTTGAGAGTATGTGGAAAATTACTTTTACATGCCAAGTTAAGATCAGAATATCTAGCTACTGTACATGAAGCTTCTGAACACATTAGATACTTCCCAGTGCCGAATACAGTACAGTACTAATTTTTTTAAATGTCCTCATTCAAAAGTGTACTGTATATGAAAATACAGGATATATAAAAAAAATGTAAACACACTGCCTTATGGATTTTGGTGGCGATTGCTTGAATGCTTGGACAGTTTTACAACAACAACATGTCCTCACTTCTTCTTGTGCACATCAATAAGTATTCATACAATTGCCATGAAATTCTGTCAGTCAGTATATATATACATTTTTTGAGACACCCTGTATATGGATATCATCTCTAATGACCAAACACCTCTTTTCAGGACTAATATGATAGATATTCTCTTCCAAATTTAGTAAAAGGTATGATGCCCTGGAAGGTGAGGTGATCATATGAAGAGGGGAAGTATGCAAATGTTTGTGGGAAGATGAAAAGGTTACAGTGAAACATTTAGAGATTAAGTGAAGTTTGATGGATAGGTTCAAAAAGCTTTAGTGGAGATCAATGTTACTTTACATATATTTTGGTGGCCAAAAGCATGAAAGATGTGAAGGTATTCTTGTAGAGCAGAAGCTGAGTACTTATGTAAAAAGGTGTTGGGCAGTGTCAGGCAAAGTTCTGTTAATCAAGTGAAGCCATAGACTTAACAATAATTCAGAGTTATGTACCAATAACTCAGAGAGGATGACGATTGAGAAAATATTTTAGAAACCCCAAAAGGAAACGAAGCTGTAAAATTCAATAAACGTTTATAACAGAAACAGGGACATGGAAATAAACACAAAAGCATGGGATAGTTAATAAATAAGGAGGTGAAAGGTTAGTTGACTTTTGTAAAGAAACCAAGCTGATTGCAGCTGATCATTTCAACAACACCCAAAGCTGCAAGGCATCTCCACCTTTCATAGATACCACCCCAAGATAGAAGAATGATACTCAAGAATGAGACCTTATTATTATTATTATTATTATTATTACTATTATTATTATTATTATTATTATTATTATTATTATTATTATTATTTATTTATTTATTTATTTATTTTTTATTTTTTTTTTTTTTTTAGAAAATTTCAAAACCTGTGTAACTCAACTGAACCCCTACTATGGCACAGCCAATGGGTTGAACCACATCCCAGAAATTGAGTATCAATGCTAAAACCTAAGATATTAAAAAGAAAAAAGTCAAATACAGTAACATATGAGTGGAAATCGTATGACATTGAAATCAAACACAATTTGAAGTATTGTTCAAGGATTGGATAGGATTGATTTAGATACATAGCAGTACATCTGGCAATATAACAGTTTGATTCATGTGATGCCATACTCAGTTAACCCTCAACTGGTGGCTAAGGATTCTCTACAAAAATGGAAAGCAAGGAGCATGAATATCCACTCATGATGGCTGCCATTTAAGAGAGGAGGCTTTTCTGTTGTGGCCCAAAGAGATCCCATGAGAAATTAGGTGTAGTAGATGTGAACAAACCTTCCTCGTAGTAGACAGACATATCAACATCCCACTCGTCAGCTGTCTGTTCATCGAAGTCGCCTTCCTGTTCTCTCCAGTATTGAGCATCTGTATAGAAAACAAGTCCTGGTCCTCCTTTCTCCCACACTAACTGTAGTTAAGATAATGAACATCATTTAAAAGTGGCATCTGACATACAAGGTCTTCTGTATAAGAAATTCTACTAAAATTTTTTTTTTTAAAGTTAAGGGAAAGATCCAGTGCAACAGTTTACAGATCTTCGAGCCAAGTCTGTCTGATAGGCATACTTGCCACCCAATTTTAGCTGACTCACCCAGGAGAGGGAGGGAAGGTATCGGAACCACCTAGTTATGGACTCCACTAGAAAACAACATTTCAGGATCAGTCCTCCATTTCCAGCATATGACCTGAGGTCAGGCAGCTCTTATGATCAAAACTCAGCAATACAAGATCAAGGAAGTGCTGCTATAAATGTTCTAAGGTTTAGACAGACATTTATCCCATACAAAAGTAAACCCTTTATATGGAATATATTAGAGTCAGAAAGGTACAGCACACTTCCTCTTTTATAATACAATTTATTTGGTGTTGTCCTGGGACCACCAGAAAAGGAGTACCCAGAGCACCAATATAATCAGTGGAGAATATGTCCTAAAGACGAGTTAGATGAAATCCTCCCAGTCACGAACCATGTAGCTACACTCACACAAGATACAAGAATAATACCTACCTCTATTTCTTTCTCGTAAAGTCGCTCCTTTATACGGTCTTGGCTCGTTACATCATCATGAAAGGCTTCGTAACGTTCCCACTCCTCTATTTCAGCACCATCCTGAGAAAGTCATATTATCAGTTCAGTACTGTGAGGCATTACAACAACTAATAATACTATACATACAAAAATATTTACAACAGTGGCAAGTGCAGGTACAGTACTGTATACAGTTCATCATGTGTATAGACAACACAGGTGTACATAGACGTGCAGGCATACAACAATACTATAATAAACAGTAAGGCATTTTGACCGAGGACAGCCGACAAAGCCCTTAGGTTCTTATTTCCAGTTGGGTCCTTTGCTTAGGCTTGGTTACTAATCAATAATAGTATATTTACAGGAATAAAAGTGAAAGTTGGTTGATAAATACAGTACAGTACTGAATAACAAGTATTACACTGCACTACAACTATCCACAATAATAGTATATTTACAGGAATAAAAGTGAAAGTTGGTTGATAAATACAGTACAGTACTGTATAACAAGTATTACACTGCACTACAACTATCCAAGACCGACAGATCACTTAAGAAATACAACATTCTGTGGTTAATAATATAGAAGCTCACTCTCTTCTTTTGCTGTAGCTTCATCTATTATGCATTCTTTAGTTTTAGTTTTTAATTGCTTGATAACATTCTTGGTTTTAATCCAGTCAGGTAACTTGTTTCAGTCAGTTATATCTGTAAAGAAGAAACTGTTTTTCACTTGACTGCAAACACCATAAGATTGTGTCTCCTTCCTCCAGTACCCTGTTGGTTCATATCCCTAATCCTTACAAAGTTTATTGTTAGATACTCTAGGAGTCCATTGAAAATCCTATAAGCGTGATTCAGCCTCAGTTGCTTCTCTCTTATCCTCCACAATTAACACGTCCAGTGATTGAAGAACTTCGTGACCAATGTTATCTCTTACATTCATATCAAGAAGGAACCTCACCATCATGTTTTGAACAATTTGTAGCTCAGCTTTTAGATTCTGTGTTCAGGCAGAGTACCATGAAGAGCAGGAATAGTCCAAGTGACATTATGAAAGCCAAGCAAAGGTTCCTACAGGCATCAGCTGAGAGGCATTTGGCATTTTTAAAAAGGGATTTTAGCCTGGCATTGCTCTTATTTTACTTACACTGAATTTGTTTACTCTATTGAGTTTTCTTTTTACCTAAGCAATAATGCTTCAGTCTTTCCAAGATGTAAAGATAATTTGTCTACCAGCCCTTGTTTGTATGACTCCGGCTCAGATGATAAACTGTTAGCTATGTCATTTGGAATTTTACCTGACACTAAACGGGGAACTGTCATCAGCATACAGCAAAGTTTACAATTAATACTGTACTAATTGGCATTTCAATTACAAGGGGATATCCTATCCATCATTCTGGTCAAGAGTAGAACCCGTGAATATTTACTTATGATATGAAAACTCTGCCAATTATTGACTATGACTACTACCAACAATACTAGATATTTTGTAGTAGTATACAGTATCTATAGAGTACAGTACAGGCAAATGGTGTATGAAAGATCCTGCAAATACAAGTGAAGTACAAGTGATGAGAGAGAGATCAACATAAGGTGGATGAGAAAATGTGAAAGCATTTCTTGCATGAGGAAATAAGTACCTGATGGCTTTGTTGGCTATCCTTAGTTGATTGCCTGACTGTTTACCATTGCTTGTATGCCCACAATGTCTAGGTATATTGGTAATTGTATAAAATTTGCACTTAAAAAGTCCTAAATGATTGGGACGAAAGCCATTTCAGCTAACAAAATTTTTTGGTAAAGATTAATGTCATTATAAAAAACCCAAATATTTCATTAAACACCAAATAAAGTACTGTACAGTATGATAATTATAAACTGATACAGTATATAATACAGGTATATATAACTGAAATTAAACTTGGTAACATAATAAATAAGGTTAATAATTCCAAAAACAAGTACAGTAGTACTGTACAATACTGTATTTCAAGGCATAATTAGGCTTTAGTGAGGCCAATATAATACTGTACTGTACCATAAATGCATGAATGGTAAAGATAGCTTTGTTTATTTCCCTCTGCAGTCAGCTGAGCATGCTAGAATGTCATCGCTCACCGGCTCAGTAAACTAGTGCAATCCCGGTAAATTTAAAATAGTGAAAAATGCCACCACTCAATTTTTTTTCTTCAGATTTTCGAAGTTTTCAGATAAAAGACGTTTGGAGTTTTTAAGTGCAACCTGTACCTGCATGGTCTATGTACACTGTACACCTGCATTATTTATATGATGAGCCATTAGTAAACAGGTACAGGGGGTATAATAATTTTTAAGAATAAATATCTATCCATATATCTATGTAAGAAAAAACCAAGAGATGTAGACTAAATTCAGTGTCTGGTAATAACTGTACAGTATATGTTAGTGCAGAAAATGAAATATGGACTACAGATATTTTGACAAAAAGATGAGTTTATTCCCTAAGTTTAAGAAGTAGCAATCATGGACTTATAAACATGTTAAAAATTCATTGCAAATAGCATACCTCTCTTTCACTTTCTAACTCAATTTTTGGTCCTTTAATTCTCTGCTTTCTCTCTTTCTTCTTCCTTCTCGGTTTTGTGAAGTCAGCCGAGGTTGGTATAAGATCACCGGCAGCTGTGAAAGTGATACCTTCGGCATCTTTGCCCATCTCTCTCTTGGTTACACTTGTCCCATAGTTGAATGGCACCTGACTAAACCGCTTCTGTCCTCTGGTAAATATTTTGTGGTTACTTTTATATGTATTATAACTTTTAAATACAGTAATACCCCGTTTAGCACTTCGGATACATTCTTGGATAATAGAACGCTATCCAAAAGTGTTCTAAGGGGGTCATTATCCCATTGCATATATGGAGATAAGTTCCTGATGATACAGGTACAGTGTATTATGTTTTACCTATAAGATGTATACTGTATTGTATATGAAGGGTACAGATTATTACACTTACCGGGTACATATATTTAGGCATATTATTTACTGTACTAATTAATGAATAACAAACTACAGGTATATTGTATCATGAATGACAGTCCTTTGATGAATAGTAGTGAAGATTGTAGTAGATTGAGTGAGAAATGCAGAGAGTAGGTGGGAGGGAGGAAGGTGGGAAGGAGTAGGGAGGCAGTGGATATCGTACGGCTCTGCTCTGGTTAAAGCTAATCAATTTCTGCATCACTGAAATAATGATTTATGTGGTGATAATAGAGGTAGTGGTGATGATGAGGGTGGTGATGATAGAGGTGGTAGTGAGGAGGTGATGCATCTTTCGGTTTCTTTGGTAACACTGCCAGATACTATTGAACAGCTTATACCTGCCCCAAAAAATTTAGTTTAAGTATAAATGAACAACGTTGTATCCGATCAACATTACGTTACATAGCATTTTAAAATATAGAGTGAGAAAGCAGAAAGGTGGGGTGATTAGAGAGGTGGAGTGGAAGGGTGTTGTCAAGTGCTCTTCAGCAGCTGCTCTCCAACCCACCACCACACATAATGCTTCAGTTAACCACACACAATTTTATGTCATACAATAAGACCTACACTTAATATAACAACTTTGTGGTTTTCATGGCTGAAGCTTTTATCTAGTTTACATTCTTAATAATGGTTCTAATAGTCGATGTAGCCAAGTTAAAAGCAACACCGACATCCACCAGATGCTTACCAGCTTCCAACTGCCTCAAAACTTGTAATTTTACATCCAAGAAGATACTTTTCCATGGCACTTTAGACGCACTAGCATCTTTAAAACTTACTGGCCGTGTAAGCGCAGCAAATTTGTACTACACTGTAAACAGAGCGCTTGGCGCTGACTGGCCGAGTGCGTAAAAACAAATAGAGTTTGCTCTTTGCCTGTTGTGATTGTTCAGACTCATGACTTTTGACTACAAGTACAGTACTGTACTTTTTCCCCCTGCAGCTCCAAGATGCATGGAAGAGCGCTATAAAGAAACAGCGCTCTATGGGGAAGCGTTAACCGGGGTATTACAGTCCTGTAATATTCATATAATCTATACCTGTACTGTACTGTTTTCATCTCCTTTACAATTCTGTACACTGAATGTTGCTCATATAAAGACAAATGCAGTAAATCATATGAACACATTATTAAAATACAATATACTATACTGTATACTTAAAATTTCAAGCAAAGAAGAAATTATTACTACAAAAAGTAATACAGTACATGAAGGGGACCATTTATCCAGCATCCCAGTACAGTAGATAAATTGTTAGAAATCTTAGAGGAACTCAATAGGCACAAGGAAGACCATAGACAGTGGAAGCACACAGGAAGACTCTCATCTATCTATTTATGGACAAGGCAACAATGGATGATAAGAAAGAACGATAGAGTAAATACAAGATTATTCCTAAATGAAATTCCAATGTACTGTATTAATACGTGTACTGAAACCTTTTTTTTTTCTCTTAAAATTTTGAAACATTAATATGGCACCACAAAATATTCTTATGATCATTTTAAAGTACAGTACAGTTCATTTCATTTCATTAGCCAAAAGTATTAGTAAATGATATTATAGCTTGTGCAAATTCTAGATATTAATGTTTTTCTGAACAGTTTCCATTTACCTATTCCATAAAGTATATTCACCTGCTTTTTGGAAATTCCAAACCAAGTTTTTTAATTATGGTTCCTGGTAACTGACACGTCCTAATCAGATTCTTGAAGTAGGAGGTTGGAGTGCCAACATTCCCCTGTGGCATGATGGGAGGAGGACAAAACTCAATCAAGTCCAGTGACGTGTCCACAGAGAGACTTTCTGAATCCAACTGTCTTCTTGTCTTGTAGTTTTCACCTGTTGGAAAATATACAGCAGTAAAGATTAAGGAGAAAGATGTGACCTTATCTTATGATAGTATTGTTTGATGGAAAATTAGTATGGAGAAAAGCCATCAGCAACCTAGATCTGATTTTAACAGAAAAATCTAATTTGTTTCTACTAAAATCAAATACTACTATACAGCACTATAATAAGTTTTGTGATATTTTTTGTCAGTTCACCATGGCCATCTTGCTGTTTTAAGGTAAAATTCTAAATTAATTTATCAAAGTTCCATTGAAGTAGTAAAGATCTTATAAAAAAAATCCTCAAAATACTGCTAGTTAAGTGGCATCCTTGTTCTTAATATTTGTAGCTGTTTTAATTATGTTTTCCCACCCACTTAATTTACATTCTATGACTTAAAATAAACATATCAAAAAAAAACTCCATCAAAAAATATCTATAAATTTGGTGAAGTCAATCTCATTGCCAAACAAAATACCTGTACTGTACGCCAGTAAAAATTTTCAAGAAAAAATATCCAAGAAATAAAGTGAGAAACCACCTTCTTAACATTTATCAATCATAATTTACTTGATTACAATATGGATACCATGACATGTAAATTAATGATAATATTCTATAAAAGGTTGTAAAACAATAATCGTGATAATACAGTACAGTACAGTACAGTACAGTACAGTACAGTACTGTGTTTCCATGCTCTTACAATCTGTCTCACTTTAAAAAGCTGGTTTTCCAGCATCTTCGTGGTGTAGATTAATACAGTATAACCTTTTTTTCTATATTTTCAATTTCTTTCCGTTCTTTTTTTTTTTCGCCCCCCAAGCTCCGTTGTGGGTCGTTTGACCTGTGCCCAGGTGGGCTAATTCCCGTAAAAAAAAAAAGTCTATAAATAACTGTAAAAAAATTATGATGATTTTTTTTTCATGGTTTTCTGGCCGGATACCATGAATTCAACCATCGCCACGCTGCCAAGTAAAGTTACCAGTGATCCTAATCTTTTTCAATAATTAATAGCCTTTATTTAAGTGCATAGTCAATAAAGACTTTGATATACCCTGTACTGTACAGTATTTTATTTTTTACATACATACTTAATATAGCCAACTTATTTAACATAGTGAACTAAGCATACAGAATAAAATAAAAACGTACTGGTACAGTGCTGTTTGTTAAGATTTTTTATGAAAACTTTTTATACAATCAGCTGCTCTTACTCTACTACATTGTCATTTATTTACCAGTAAGATGACACAAATCAACCAAACCCAACTTCCCTTTAAGCTAACCTATCTTGAGCCTTCCTAACTTACCTTTAACCTAACTAACTTACCTATAACCAAATCTAACTGTAGCCTAACAATCTCATATGTATTGTAATACTTCTTAGTTATGGAAAATTAGATAAGGCAGGGATGGGTTGGATTCTGTAATACGTAGTTAGATTAGGCTAAGTTTTAATAGGTTTGGTTTCATCATTTGTGTGTGTGTTTTTTTTTCATGTTTTAACCCCACAATTTCCCTCTACTCCAAAGCCCTGTCGACTATGTGTAATCAAAATGCATTTTATAAGTGAAATAAAAAAAATAAAAACAATTTAAATACAGTATACATTTCTGACATATTAATAAAGAGATCCGTGGTTGACCTTTTCCGAATCTTTTTAACCGGTTTTGTTCATTTTATATGTGAACTTGGAATATCTTTGGAAGAAAACCATGGAAAACCAAAATACATAAATAACAATTCATGTGGTGGATAAAAGCTGTTCTAAAGATATACAGTAGAACAACTTTTCTCTTATACAATACGGCAGTGGACATTTTGCCGTGGCCGGCAAAGTTCCTACTAACGCTATTTTACTGTGCGTACACTCTGATTGGCTAATTGTCCATTACCGGCAAACAACACGATAACTTTATTTGAACAGGACTCTGACAGCATTGACATTTATTTAACCGTGAGTCGATTATTGTGTAACTATAAACATATTGAACCATATTTCTGTTGTGCATGGGAACTATCATTATAAAAGAGGCAACATTTACTTGAACCTGACCTAACCAACCCCCCAAAAATACCTAATCTTACCTAACTTTTTAGCAGGGGGGGGGGAACCCCATCATATTAAACAGAAAGTACTTGGCCAATCAAAGTACTTGGCCAATGAGAGCGCACTCACAGTAAAATAGCGTTAGCAGGAACTTAGCCAGTCACGGCAAAATATCCACTACGATACAATAAATTTCCTAAATGGGAAAGTAAGAACAATAAACATACCATGATTTATATTTTTAACAAAGTTGATCCTAAATATGAAGCATCTTGCTACTAGTACATCACCAGCACGGTCAACCCAATGTTTTTTATTATATTTAACAATAAATTTTTCCACATATTTGTCTTTTATGTTTAAGATGCAACAAGTTCTCTTGTCTGCTTCTGAACGTTCTGTCAGAACCACGTCATCCTCTTGTGACGGCGATGGCTGACTACCTTCACTAACACCGTGTTCTTTTAACATACTATTGTCTTTTATTTCACTACGACAAACAGGCTGTTCTCTTTTGTATATAGCCTGTAAATTCTGCTTCATGTCTGTTTTGGCCCTTTGCTTTTTTTCACTTATCAGTGTTGAGAGACCAGACAGTCCTGAATTCAACCAATGTGTCTTTGCAGCCACACCACAACCATCGTCTTCACTGTCTCTGGCTACTGACTCCTCTAGAATTAAATTTGTCTCAACATTTTTCTCACTGCCGTCCTCCTGTTGCGTTTCACTGCCGTCCTCCTGATGTGTTTTATTTCCTTTCAAGTTGGTTGTAGATGATGAACTTGTGCTGCTGGAAGTCAAGTCAGCTTCAGCCTTGGGTACAGATGAGGCACAATCCTTCAGCAGCTGTGAGAGGTGAGATTGTGGACGATGACGGAAGTGGAAGCAGGAGAATGTCTCTTTTTCAACATATTCAGAGAAGAAATTCCTCAAATCAGATGATCGAAATGATGACGGTATATTGGTGACCACAAGATGCATCTTCTCCTGAACCTTCACTTTACTTCACTGACAACGTTGGTCTTACGTTTCACATTTTCTCATTAATATACGACACTTAAAGAGACATTGAATATCATTATGCGGTGATACCAAAACTTTGTTCACGTAAGTTTTTCCTTTATTATACTAGGTGGATTATTACAGCGATTATATTGCCGTTTTATTCATCTACTTCCAGTTCCTAAAAAGATCATTATCGTCCACCCGCAGAGTAATTGTTTGTTGACATTAAGATACAAACCTAAAGTATTTATAAGTTTTATATATATTTTTTTTTGCCACTTATCAGCCGTTTAGGGCTACTTTGGGCGCTCTATCCAGTGTTAATACAGGAGGAAACATGTGATGTTTGGTAGGGTCAGACTGGATAGCACCCACGTGTGTCCAGGCCGAGGCTCGAACCCTTGACACATTATGAGAGTAACGCGTGTTACCGCTGTACCACCAACATTGAAAGCTTATATAAATCATAAAGCAGTTATTATTTTTCATAAAATAACGAAAAGCATCATTATTTGTTTGTCTTCCAGACATTCGTAGTGGTGACCAAATCTCAATTACTGTTCTACCAGAGGATTCGTTGTAATTGTTTAGAGGCTATTTCCTGAATGTAAAATTTTGGAGCTGTGCAAGGAATTGGACACCTTTTTAGGGTGGAGGATGAAGAGGTCATAGGGGCTTATAGGTTGTACCAACTCGCAACAAATTGTTGTTATTATTTGTACTATTCATATTTTTTATTATAAAATATGCTACTAGCTTCTTGAATCGTTTAGTAGTTGGTTGAAATGTTCAAAGAAGGGCCACCAGACTGGTGCCTGCACTTCGGCACCTCAACTACCCTGAGAGATTGGAGCGCTTTAACTTGCCTAGCTTATACTACAGACAGGCATGTGGCGACCTAATTGAGGTGTATAAGCATCTCAAGGGGCACTACTCTGTCGAGTGTCCTTACTTGGAGCTGGTGGACACTCGCCCCACAAGGGGTCAGAGCTCAAGATTGAAGAAGCCGCAGGTCCAGAAAACTGCGACGGCAAATTTTTTTCAGTGAGAGTTGTGAACTTTTGGAACAATCTACAAGAAAGTGTTGTGACGGAACCAGGTGTGAGTTCTTTCAAGACCAGACTTGACCAACACTGGAGCAGGTTCGGGTACATGCCCAGTACTTGCCAACAGTGCGTAACAGAGACGTGACCGATCGCCCAAACGGCTAACGAGCCGATCAGTGGTGAAGAGGACAAAAGTAAAAGTTATACTACAGACGAGCAAGGGGTGACCTAATTTAGGTGTATAAACATTTCAAAGGGCATACTACTCAGTCAAGTGTCCATGCAAGGAGCTGGGGGATGCCTGCTCCACAAGGGGTCACAGCTCAAGGTTGAAGAAGCCCCTAGTACGGAAAACTGTAAGGGCAAACATTCCTGAGTGAGAATTGTGAACTCTTGGAACAACCTGCCAGTAAGTGTTGTGACGACACTGATTGTGAGCTCTTTCAAGACCAGATTTGACCAATACTGGAGAGGTTCAGATACATTCAGGAGCCAGTGCCTGCCCAGTACTTAACAACTGTGTGTATCAGAGACGTGACCGACCCCCCAAGTAGCTATCGAACCGATCTGTGGTGAAGGGGATAAAACTAAAAAGTAAAAGTATGGGTGGTGTGACTGAGGCATGTGTTGTGTGACTGAAGCATAGGTGGTGTGACTGAAGTATGGGTTGTGACTGAGGCATAGGTGTTGTGACTGAAGCATGGGTTGAGCGACTGAAGTACAGTTATGTCCTTTGGACATTTCCAATCAACTGACAGTCTCGAGCATATCTTGGGGACCAGACAGGGTGAAAAGTACTTCAGGTGGGTAAGCACCTCAGTGTTGAAGAGCGTTACAAGGGATGGACCGTCTAGTTATCTGAACGACCTTCTTATAAGACATACGGTACTAGCTTAGTTGCTCGAGTCACTTTCTTCTCTCATGGCACGAGAACTTCAGTTCGTTGTTAACATATACACCCAGGTCCTTCTAACATTCAGTCTATTATTGCTGTTTCTTCATCCGGTAGGGATCTGTGATACATCTCTTTACTATTGGTACAACCTAGGTGCATTCTCTTACACTTCATGACATTGAATCTTAACAGCCATTTCTTAAACCACTTTTGAAACTGACAGTTCTTTCTGTAGCTCTTCACATTTCATTTGGTCAAAAACGACTATTTGATGATTGTACATGCTGAGGCGATGTAAACTTGGACGATGGTTTTTATTGAATAAATATCTATTAGCTCAGCTATTAAATGAGGTTAATTGCATCCACCTTCTATTTTCCTTGATCTTGTACAGGTCAACTGGATGAGACTTTTTTCTTTTAGTCTTTAGTGCTTCAAATACCAAGATTATTAATATATTTAACCCTTGGAGGAGAATACAGTGATCCCTCGGTTAACGAGCGCCTCAGTTAACGAGATTTCGGTTAACGATTTACCTTCCATAACATTCTTAACTTCAGTTAACGAGCAATCCCTCGATTAACGAGTTTTTTACGAGCCGACTTCAACATGTTTTCGCTTGCATTTGGCAGTCCACCAGCTGTAGTATTAGTCAGCCAATACAGTAATCGGTTTTAGGGCTTAAATTCCTTACTATTTTAGTAAATATTAAGAAGTTTATACTATTCAATAATTTTAAACGTTTAATATTAACTTTTTTAATCATTTTAACAATTATTGAACATAATTGAAGGTAAAGAAACTAGTTTCTGGCGTGCCATCCAGCCTGTTAACACACCAGACAGGCGTTAGTCTCTCCGTTTTCAGTGGAGGTAACATCTTGCTTGAGACTCTCTTCAACTAAACGCTTTTTTTCTGTGTTTCCAAGCAAATTATTGGTCATTTTGAAATTTATTTTACATATTGACAATATATAATGCAGTGCAGTGTTGATTTAAAGAAAATAATCTTGAATTACACCAAGAGAACTAAAATTTTATGGGTGAAATGGTGCCATGGGGTGACTTCTCTTCCACCCCAATGCCTTCTCTTCTCCCTTCTCCTCCACCCCCATTCTAATTCCCATCATCATCATCATCCAGGAGCCTTCTACATACACACCTCATAGAAAGTGTACTTTTCTACCTTTTTTGTTGAATTTAGGCAATTTTCGGTGAGCTGGAACCAATTACCCAAACACCCATTGAAACAATGGTTTCGGTTAACGAGGAACCTGCTGGAACGAATTGTGCTCGTTAACCGAGGGACCACTGTAGTTAAAACTACAGTACAACCCATTAGAGGACAAAAGGTGAAACTATAACCCATTTGAGGACAATGGTTAAAGGAATAACCCCTTTAAGGAAGATGGTTAAAGCTACAGGTATAACCTTTTGAGGATGATGGACCATATGTTAGTCTGTAATTCTCAGGGGGTTAAAGAACCATCATCCACAAAGGGTTATGGATGATATGAGGATATAAATTCTTAACATGGAAAATCAAATCACAATTTTATTATCCACCAGAGATAAATTGATAAAAAAGTAAAATGAATTGAAGATACATATGGTAATAAAATTTTCTTCTGCTGTCACAAAGAAGTTTACATTATTTTTAAATCCACTACAGTATTGTTACGAGAAACATTCTACACTAAAAAGATGCATGAATTAGTAAGACTCATGTAACCATAACAAAATTCAAAGGTAAATTCTAAAACTTATTTCTCCTTAAAATATAACTATAACTCACTGAAACATTTATACAGATTTCTAATTTTACATTTCAATATAATAAAATGACCAAAACTATTAATATTTCATTTAAGCAGAAGATTGTGCACTTGTCTTATTTCCTACAAGAGTAAATCAATTCTAACTTAGAGGTTTTCTGCCCATAATGAGGAAGAACTTGAAGCGAAGGCAGAGTTGGGTATCCTCCGGACTCGTTGTTAAGTTGAGGGTCGACATGATCCTGACAAAGTAAAGCATGGATTAGTTTATAAGGCTATACTACTCCTTAATCTAGTCACTTAGGTCAATATATATACTGTAGAGTATTGTAGAATGTTTAAGGTCACAACACACCTCTCTTGTATCATACCTGTTCTGGAACCTGTCAAGAATCTCCTGGGCAGCAACATCACCATTTTTGGCTTTAAAGTTCTGGAATCCTGACCAGCTTGTTATGTATCCAGTCAACTCAGCAACTGTAGCACTTTTATCCACATAATGAGTGTCATCTCTGTAAGAAAAAAGTCACTAATCGATCGATAGTTCTGGATATTATAATAACATAAAATATAAATTTCTGTATGCAACTCCAGTTGGCCCTCTTATAATCATGCCTTAATTTTTATGTTCACTAAGTTGTATCTCACTACCGATCCCGCTATACTGCCAGATTCTGGGGTCACTAAGTCTAAGGGGATAACTTAACTCTCCAGTATTCTTAATTTCTAAGGGTTGCTGCCACCAGACCCCCTCTGGGCAGTAGCTCATTAGGTAGCGGGCAGAGTGGACTAGGCATTGGGTTGGGTTTTTCATTGACCAGATCGATACGGGGAAGAAGGGTGAAACGATAACATGTCTTATCTAATTTATTCCCTATAAAACACACTGCATTCCGTTAAAACACAAGTGAGTTGGCCTTCCTCAGAAGAACAACGATGATCTTGGTTACCTTGCTCGACAACAGACGGCTTGCATTAATTGCGTGTTATCCACATACTTATAGCATAACAATCAGTGACCTCCCTACTTCGGTCATCCCTTCTTACAATAACCCACAACACGTCGGACTGCTCCACCTATATATGGGGTATAGCACCTTAGGTTATCATACATAGTAGCATCACCTCACCTCCCTGTAGCATCACCTCCACACCTGTTACACTCCACATCTGCTACACTCCACATCTGCAAGTATGGGACTCCTTGTAATTTCTAGGTACACATACAGTGGTCCCTCGGTTAACGAGCACAATCCGTGCTAGAAGGTTGCTCGTTAACCGAAAAACTCGTTAACCGAAACCATTGTTTCAATGGGTTTTTGGGTAATTGGTTCCAGCTCACCGAAAATTGTCTAAATTCAACAAAAAAAGGTAGAAAAGTACACTTACTTTGAGGTGTGTATGTAGAAGGCTCCTGGATGATGATGATGGGAATTAGAATAGGGGTGGAGGAGAAGGGAGAAGAGAAGGCATTGGGGTGGAAGAGAAATCACCCCATGGCGCCATTTCACCCATAGAATTTTAGTTTTCTTGGTGTAATTCAAGATTATTTTCTTTAAATCAACACTGCACTGCATTATATATTGTCAATTTGTAAAATAAATTTCAAAATTACCAATAATTTGCTTGCAAACACAGAAAAAAGCATTTAGTTGAAGAGAGTCTCAAGCAAGATGTTACCTCCACTGAAAAGACAGAGAGACTGGCGCCTGTTTGGTGTGTTGACAGGCTAGATGGCGCGCATAAAACTAATTTCCTTACCTTCAATTATGTTCAATAATTGTTAAAATGACTAAAAATTTTAATATTAAACTTTAAAAATTATTGAATAGTATAAACTTCTTGATATTTACTAAAATGGTAAGGGATATAAGCCATAGAACTGATTACTGTATTGGCGGACTAATACTACAGCTGGTGGACCGCCAAATGCAAGCGAAAACATGTTGAGGTCGGCTCGTAAGAAACTCGTTAATCGAGGGATTGCTCGTTAACCGAAGTTAAGAATCTTATGGAAGGTAACTCGTTAACCGAGGGACCACTGTATTAGGCACCGCCCTCGGTGGGTAGAGACGAGGGCTTCACCAAGAGACATACCAGTACTGTTTCTACGCCTAGTATTATAGGTCGCTCCAAATGCCGACCGCGGAGTTTCTCAACATTCCGTTATGTATTTCCACGCCTGTGTCGTGGTATGCCGGGAATCCACAGGTTCACACTGGATTAGCATAGCTGGGAGTAGTCATCTCACATGGTGGGACGCTCACGGGGGTAATGGCCGCCGTTCTGGTGAGTTCAGAGCGTGCGGGGACCCGAGTTGATAAGAGAGTAGGTGCCACTGAGAAATAAAGCCTGATGGGCCGTTATCACACACTTTATACATCAGGCAAAGTTTTAAGGTATTATAACTGCTATAAGTCTTGTTTTAGTGCTGAATACAGCCCGATGAAGTTCACTGACCTGAGTTGATGAGAGAGTAGGTGCCACTGAGGCATGAGGTCCCGCACCTCTCACCGACGTAGGCCTACAGTTTCCAATCTTTAATTTTTACTTTGATTTCTTATGGTTCTCACATGAACACTTTCCCGTTTATTGTGACCTGGTGTCTTATAAATACATATTTTAATCCAAGCTTACATACTAGAATACGGTTCGAGTTGGACAGTTCCTGGGAAATTAATTGAGCTATATCAACAACTCACACCTATAGGCCGCCACCCTGAAACAAAAGCTGAATGTTCATAGCATGGGTATATCCACTTCACTTAAACTGTAATTAGGGATCCTCCCCTCACACATTGCATTACTTGAACACAGACATAAGATTCTCTGATCACTGTACATGTCGTGGGTATACGTCACCCGAGGATACGAGGTGTATTAAGTTCACACCGATGCATACAAGATATTTCCTTTCAAGTATAGTTTCTGGGTCACTTCCAACACCTCACATAGTTCTGATACATTTATCCTTTTTCCAGATCATTGTTCTCATGTATTTTCATATGATATCTGCGGAAGGTATGTTTGCTAATTGTTAACAGACGTAAATAGTATGACCTTCAAACCACGATCTACACTTAGTCCTAAAGTACACGAGTCCGGATCAACTGGACTTTCCCAATCATCTTATAGATACCTTGAGTTCTCCTTAATGCTATGAATACATACAATTAATGTTACATAACCGTACCTGGGTACAATTCAACAAATGATTCATTAACATTGAGTAGGTGAGTTATTCCTTTATCAATGTTTCCCGTTTTCTGAGATTCTACAAGCGCGGTGGATTTGAATGTTATGTAGCGTAATATGAATTAGAGGGTTTTTTTAGGAATGACTATGATGTGCGCAGTACACCGCTGATATCCATCAACTAACATTTGGATTAATGTGTTACAAATACAACCCCAAACCTTTATACAATATACTTTTTACACTTTCACCGTCCACCAGCATTTTCTCTCATGTTTAAAACTTGTCAGCAGTGTACTGTATACTGTATATTCATATTCAAATTACTTATTAAAAAACAACATTATGTACAAGTAGAGAATATAGTGATTTACATAAGGTATGGTACTGTATAGGTACAGAATTCTAACAGTACATCAGCCTGGGATTTGCTTGTGCATTTAAACTTACAGTATATACATATTTACTGTACAGGTATCCCCTGTTTTACAATATTTCGCTTGAACGATGGTGATGTATTAAGACCACCCCCTTATTTATGATAAAAAATTGCATGAATGGTCATTGTCCGGCCAAAATCGCTGACGAGCGGAATATGGAATGCATCTCTTGCTGCACTTGTCAGCTGTGGTTTACCTGCATGGTGCCACCTGGTGCACTACAGTCCCAAGCTTTGTTCCATGGTAAGTGCACATGCCCGTGATTGTGTTGCTTAATGATTATTGATTAGTATCGATGTTGGTACTTACCATGGTTTTTTTTTTTTCTTCCCCTCAGTGAGGGTATATTACTAACATTTCACATTGTACTATGTTTTGGTGACTGTTAAGTGATTTTGTCTATATACCGAGAACGTTAATACCACTACTATCACTGAGATTTATATATAAGGATTATGTTGGGGCTGTTTTACTGTTCATCACTCTTCTCTTTTCAAAAACAACTTTGAGTCTTCTATTCTACTTTGATGAATCTTCTTTTAATGTCTCCGATATTTCAAAAGTACGCACTTGAAAAATATTGATACTGTATCAGGTTTCTCCTACCAAACTGTTTTTATACTGCCTCAATACAGTATTTCCTTCCCTGGGATGTCACTTTTTTTTATATCAAACTTTAGTTTTTGTACAACCAGCAATAGCCCAAACTACATACACAGTACAATACATAAATATTAAACCTTAACCAGCAGCAACTAAAGATCCCACCCCCTCCACCCCCAGCAAGCACAAAAATGGTATGCAAGGAAAATGAAATAGTCTACTGATGATGGCTGCTTTTTAGGATTAATGCTGAAATGCTCCACAGATCTTTTGTCGACTTGTATCCACTTTCTATTTCAATGACCAAAAACAACTGTATAAATAAGAGTTTAATTAAGCAAATCTACATAACAAACTCTCTTAGCTATCTGCTCAATATGTTTCCACTAAATTCACTCAATACCGTACTACAGAACTTAAATATCACTTTCACTCTCATGTATCTTACACTGTGGTTGTACAAATCTTCTAATATATATAATACTGTACTCATAAAACTCTTCCTCTATCCATCTATTACAATATAATTTTCTGTCACTCCCTTCTTTCAATAACACAACAGTTTCTTCTCCCTGTAGGATATACAGTATTAATTGTTTTGTACAGGTAAATCCATTGAACTTTTTACTTCTCCTGGGGTCAACATGCATTTGAACACACTGCTATGCTTCTAAAAAAACTACAGTCCTTCTTTTCATTATTCATTCCCCATTTGACTCCCTCCTCTTGACTAGCATTTGATATTGGAAATTCCAAAATTTTTGTATTGTATCTGTAAACTACTCACTACACATAATAGCTACGGTAAGTATTCTAACCTTGTATTACTTGAGTAAGGTATGCTGAACTTTTGATGGCTATAAGCAGCATCAACATCTTTACGACCACTTCCCCAGTAGCCACCCGTGTCTTTTTCATACACCTTCAGAAAAGAAAAAGGAACTATAATTAGAGATGTGCCGAAGTATTGGTATTGGTGGTATCAGCTAATTTTGGGGATATCAGTGAAAAATTGGCTGATACCAGTCAATACTTTTATCAAACATAGCTTCAAACAGGTTAGATGGATATATGAGCGATAGGGGTTGGGTGTAAACGAGACTGCCCAGTATGGGCCAATAGGCACGCTGCAGTTTCCTCCATTTTTATGTTCTTATGTTGAAGTACAATAATTAAAAATTGCAAGATAAGAAAACTAAACAAATTAACAATTACGTACTATACAGTACTGTATCTACTGAAATACAGTGATCCCTCGGTTAACGAATTACCTTCCATAAGATTCTTCACTTCGGTTAACGAGCAAACCTTCGGTTAACGAATTCCTTACGAATTTTTCCCAACATGTTTTCGCCTGCATTTGGCTGCCCACCAGCTGTAGTATTAGTTTTAAGTGAGAATGAAATAATTGTCTATTGTTTGTTTTAGTAATTGGAGATAACAAAACAACCCACCAGCCTTCCTCATGCCCTATTTCTCTATTATGTAGAGTGTAGCAAAGTGTACTGAGACGTTCTCCTTGTCTGATGGTTTAATGAAGATTTACTCAACTCCATGAACTGGTCTATCAACAAATTTTCCATTTCTAATCATTCTTAAAAAATTTTATTGTTTCTTCCAATATTTTTCCTTGTAGTAATTTGTTGTCAATTGTTGGTTTTCCCATTGTTAATTAACCTCAAATATCCGAGATCATCTGCATGCAATCTAAGTATTTCGTTGAATAATTACAATTCTCTATATCCCAGGTACAGTACTTTCATTTTATCTCAAAATACTTCCTTCCAAACTTCATCAAAACAATGTGTCATTTTTGTCAACCTTAATATATGACTGGGCAAACATAATGGAACAGAACACATGCAGTAAGGTAACTTCAGTACCCAGAATAAATAAAACCATATTAGGGAGAGTCTTGATTGCTTAAGACTCTGACCATCTACTGCAGTAATCGGAAATTTTGTGAAAAGTAAAGGAAATGGGGTATTGATCCTGTAATTCTATTTTCCAGTTGAGTTCATAGTCAGTTGATTCTCTTTATTGTGCATGGCCAGGTGGGGAGTTTATTTATGAATCCTTTGATTCACATGTTGTCTTCTAGAGGCAACTGGTGTCATAGAACTCATGCTTATTAAGTTAGTCGACTGCCAACCCTCCTAGATGGGGCAACTGTTATCAGAATCTCTACTTACAGTATGTACAGTACACTTACTAATTAGGCTGAAACAATCAATAAATGGACATAAAATACTCCGGCCACATTTCCTCATATCACAACCTGTTTATTTCTATTATTTTGTTACATTGTTTCTGTCACCATACCCTACCTTTCTTGACACTTCTGTTGCTCTTGTTCTAACCCATAAAGAGGTAGAGGAGTTAAAACAATAGACAGACAGAAGCAGATTGATGGAGGATAAATCGTAGACATTATGTAGCAGGGGGGTTAGCATTTTGAGGGTTGTGTCCACCTGATATACCAAAACATAATATACAATTCCCTTTAAAAGCATTTACACAGGAAAATGACAGATTACTGTCAGTGTGGGTCAGTCAATATAAACTGGTAAGTGCCATGGAATAAAAATGCAGAGATCACCTTAAGATTAGCCCCTACCCTTTACTTATTTATTTTGAAGATTACTGTAGCCCCTCAAATTATTCAACTTATTTCACTTTAAGATTAGCCCCCATCAACTAATTTCACTTGAAGATTAATCACCCTAATACTACCTGATGAGTTAGTTTAGGTTATTTTAGGTTAGGTTAGTGTGGTTAATCTTCTGGTGAAATAAGCTAGGGGTAAATTTTCAGGTGATCTGAATGTATTATGTTGTACTGTACAGTGTATGACCATGACACCTCACAGGTAACTCAAAAGAACTGGGCTTAAAAGCAGTCAAAATACACCAACCCATCCACTACCACCACACACACACTTACAATATAAACATGTTTTATGAGGTATCTCAGATCAACACATACTGTAAGTGCCAATTTAAAATGTTACCTATATGTCTTTTGCACATGATACAGGTGTGTAGATATTAGGAGAGAGACACATATACTGTACTGTACTGTACATACTGTAAACATCACATTTCTACATGAAATGAAAAATAAATTAGTGTTTGATAAAAATGTCACCTGAGTTTGGTAGGAAAGGGTGTTTGCACTGTTCCATATTCATCATCCACCATTGTAATTTTGGTTCCCCAGTAAGGACCTAATTCCTTGCTGTATACCTGAAGTGGAAAAAATACACAAAACAATTATGAAATGAATCTTATACTGTATTCCCTTTTTAATCTCTGAAGCCAAGATCCTTCTTGCTCAATGCACGGTGGTCATAAACATGAGTACAGTAGAGTACAGTAAACATACACATAAGCATATTTTACCTTCATTCAATGTCATTTATTCATTCTTATTGCTGTGAAACATGTGTCCTGCTATGGTATCGTACAGGTAAACCTTGAGATACGATATCCTGATCAGTGAATTCCTCTTTAACGATGGTCATAAACTAAGACTATTTCGCTATATGTGATAAAAAAAATTTGCTTAATGATATCCATCGAATAGCCATCGATATCCATTTGGTTGGATTTTTTTTTTTATCTCTAGTACAAACTGAGGGTTGTATATACACTGGACCCTCACTGTATGTGCACATTCACTATATGCGAATTCACGTTTATGCGGCGAGCCTATTTCTACCCATAATTCATTTTATGCGGAAAAGATTCCTTATTATGCGTTCAGTGGAAGATATGTCACACTAGTTTTATATTATATTATCTTTATTTCTAAGCCACATTAGAGTATGTGTGTGTGTATGTGTTGTCTCAGAACGTAACCAGAGCATAAAGTGAGGGTCTGGTATACAGTACTCAAATTAATCGCTGCCGTGCAAGAATTCCAACAATGTAAATTATATTTTTCTATATTAAGTCAGTGACATTTTATAAGAAAACAATATCTAACCCTATGGACCTTACATCTCTACCTTCATTTGTAAGTGTTCCCATCCACCACCACACGGCCAACCCACACACTAAAGCCAAGTGTTTGGTTCTTTGTCGATCGTAAACCCGTACATTGCATGGCTCCATGATTATTGGCCAGCATTGTACAACTGTGTTTTCTTTTCTTATTTAGTGAGAGGACAGCACTAACATTTAGACTGAACTGTTTTATAGTGATTATGAATCGATATTATCTGTGATTTTGTGACTGTAAGGTACGTCAAGTCTGTTGTTTTGAAAATATGAGCAGTGTTGGCCGCTATCATTGTTTTTTGTTATCACCGTTCGCTGTGTTTTTGTGTCAAGTGCTTTTGCTCTGTTTTTGTGACTGAAGTGAGCAGTTTAACTTTGAAAATGTCTGGGCAGGCCAAGGCATCCAAGACAACCGTGTCTCTGAGGTGAAGCTTGACAATGTTAAACAGCACGAGACTCCTCAGAGGCTGTAGGGGAGTCAAGAGTGACATCTCTCCACTCCACCTACAAGAGTCTCCTTAGCTTCAAAGGGGACATGTGATGATGACCAGGCTTATTCTTCAGGATGTGGTGAGTGTTGTTTTATTGTATTGTACTGACACTGTAGGAGTATGGCAGGAATTATTTTGTCGGTGATACATGTGTGTTTGGGGACTGGCTGGGAATGTATCCCATTGAACCCCATGTTATAATGCTCCCTATCTATGATAATTCACCTAGCGATGGGTTTTCAGGAACCTAACCCCATCGTATCTCGAGGTTTACCTGTACAGAACAGGTATATATATACAGTATATATATATATATGTGTGTGTATGTGTTTGTGCGTACATGTGTGTTTGCGTGCATTTTGGGTGATGGTCAGGAACTATATACCTGTTATACCTGTACACTACAGTACGTATACTATACTATATTATATTCTCCTCTACAGTAAATGGCAGAGGCATAAAACAAGGACCTAGATGATGGCATTAACATCTTACATCCACATCTCTAATCTTCATGTAGTTAACTTGAACTGGAAAACAATTCAAGATATTCTATTAAACAGATCAAATAGTCATTAGAGACAGCTGGTGACGCACCTGTATTCCAAGTGTTCATCATATATTAACTTGTATCTTTCTGCTTGGTACCGTTCGAGGTAGACTTCCTCACTCCCTCGGTAAATATAACCATTCAGTTCCTTTTTATACATCTAAGATTAGAAGAAAGGTGGACATATGTAATGAGGTGAAAGAAACTTTATCAATCTAAGCTTAAAACTCAACCCATTCAACTAAAGTCAGTCCACATTCAGGAGGAAATATTTTTTATTATAGTTACCTTATTTAGGACAAAGTTATGGCTATAATGAAAAAACTTTGGCATAAACAAATACTGTACAGTGTATTAACTGTAAGAAGGGAAGTTTATTACAGTTACACAAAACTGATGTTAACACTTGAGAGTGGCTAGAATACAGTATCATGCCAAAGATATACTGGACTGTACTGACCTTTTTATATAATTTTTTAATAAATTCGCAGTCCCCAAGTTATGACCATCTGACTTACGATCATCTGCACTTGCTAACAGGATTCCCATATTTTACATTATTTTCATTATTCTATGTTGTTTAACATCAGTTTATTTACTATAATTACATTAGTTGTTATGTATGGGATATTATTGTTGTTTTGTATGGGGAGGGTTGTACTTTAACATAACCTAAACTATGGAATGAACACTTCTGACTTACAAACAAATTGACTTACGATCAGGGTTGAGGAATATATCCCTGTCATTGTCATTCACAAATCAAATGTCAAGAAAGAAAAAGTGATAAATACAGTTCGTACTGTATTATAAAACCATTGCCAATTAAGGTAGACAAGTACTGCACCACACCTCTGATTACAGTGTATTGAATATAACTGAGAGCTTATTATGATACATCCACAGAACATATCTGATTAAAATACACCCGTTTGAGTTATCATAAAATATTTGTGTGTGACCATTTTGGGATGGCTGGGGGCCAAAATGATCTTCAAAAGTGAGGTGCTCCCCCGTTTGGATTACTGTTATCCCATCTAGCGGAAGCCCAGCTCACTAGAGGTCACAGCCTTAAGTTAAAAAAGACACTAGTACAGAAATTTTTCAAAACAAACTGTTTTGGAGTTAGGGTTGTAAACTCTTGAAATAACCTGCCATAGATTGTTGTGACAGCACCAAGTGTGAACTCATTTAAGACCAGACTTGACCAACATTGGCATAGAATCAGGTACATTTTGGAGCAATTGCATGCCCAGCACTTGCCAACAGTGCATAACAGACATAACATATGACAGACCCAGGGATGAAGTAAAATACAGTAAGTCCTTGTTTAACGTTGTTTCTTTATAACGTCACTTTTCTTTAGATACCCATGATTCGAATAACGTCGCGCCGATTCAGTATAACATCGTCGCGGACAACTTTGTACGGCACATCACCCACTCTCATCTTGGCACGCTACACTCTCACCCGCAGAGTGTCACGGCGTCCCCAAGCGGCGCCAGTCTTTGTTAAGCTTCCACAGCATTCATGTGTGTTTAAGTGTTTTTGCTCTTAATATTGTACTCTGACCATTCAAAATAGCTTCCAAGCGCCCATCAAGTGCTACCAAAGCTAGCGTTGAGAAGAAGCAACGTAAGACCATTAGCCTTGCTATGAAAATGGAGGTTTTAAACCAGGAGGAGGAGCCACCCGCCGGGTCTCAGTGACTCGCCACCCTCCTCCTCCTCTCCCGCCCTCCTCCTCCGCTCCACTACCCACCACACACTCGCTCCACCACCTCCGTCCATCAGTGAGTACAATACAAAATGATTTAGTTTATTAATATATATAATATTTTCTATAAAAATGCCATTGAATTTCTGTATATGTAATGTATTTTGAGGAACAGAACCAGGACATTAAGTGAGGACTTACTGTGATACAGTACTGTACAGTATGTATTAAAACATAGAATGAAACATCATGCCACCAGACAAATTGGCTCCAGTACACACAGGAGCACTAACTGGTTTTTCCCCTACTGGTAGTACTGTACTGTACTCCTCTTTAGCCAGAATGTCTCACCAACACCACTCAACACTCTACCACACCTTCCATTATCCTTTTAGTGACTGCTATTTTTCTTATAAGTAAGGCTATTGAAAATATGAATCAGTAAGCTCATATAAAGTATGATAAGAAGAGCCTGATGCCAAACTCTGCCAAATCTGTCCTTTGTATTTCACCACACATCATTGTGTTTTCCTTCACCACACCCACACGAGGGAGGTCCCAGGAGAATCTTTTAAATTCACTTCACTCACTGACCACTTCTACAACATAAGCCAGACAACCTGTATCAAAACTATTAACATTTACTAAACAAGCTAACACGGTCCTCGAGTTAAAGTGTTAGGGAAGAAGTCAGTAGTTGCTTGAAATATTTCTAAGCAAATAAAATGACAGTGGCTCAACAAATAAACACAAGTAGTAACCTAAAGAAGAAAGTGTTTAAGTCAGAGAAAACCCAGGAAAAAGAATACAGTACTGTAAAAATACAGAATGTCCAAAATAGAGTACATTACTTGACAGTATTATATAAACCTTAATTCCTAAACACTGGCAACATAAGCACAGTACAAATATTTCAAATATCCTATACAGTACTGGTCTACATTTTTTCTGAAATCTGGTCATTACTTGACTTCAGAACACCTGGTCATCATTCCGAGTGTTATTATTCTGTGGTTGTCTACACTGTCACTCATACAATGTTTACAGTACCTGAGGTTATGATGGCATGTCTTATGTTATTTCACTGACTAATTCTGAGTGTTTTACCCTCATAATGGCTTCTAATGGTGTATGTGTCACCTTCATCTTTGTCTGTTTATGTTAAAAGCAGAGATTTTTTGATAAGTATAAACTGTCTGTAAAGATTTAAGTTTTTAACACTAATTTCTTTATATGCTGTTATTATATTTACACAGGTCATGTAAAATAACTCGTAAAAGTTTTATTAGATAGATAAAACATCATTGGTAAAGTGACACAACACTAAGCTTCCATCCTTCTCTCCCATGCACTTTTAAGTTTCTGAAAACCAGCAACTGCTTGGTCCTAACCATACCTGATTGTTTTGTTTCAATGTACTGTACTGTACTGTATAAGGAAGATAAACAAAAAAACAAGAGATACTCACATAGTTAATAATGTCATAGAGTTTTTCTGTAAGGTCTCCATAGATGGGCTGTGGGAATGCGTAGCCATACAGTGCCAAGACACCTCCTGTAATGTGTAAACCAATAATATGAACCATTTTTACACTAGTTTTTCAGAGATGTAAGCACAGTAATAAAAAATCTATTACCTCTTAAGTTTCCCCATTTGAATGGCAGCTGCTCTAACTATTTTTAATTTTCAGAACTCATCATTTCCACCACTTGTCAGCTTACTAGTCGTTCAAGCAGTTGGCCTGTTCTATGTTACAACCTTTATTGCCTAGTGTTGGTACAGAAGGAAATTGTAGTACAGTACCTGGAGAAAACCTGCAAAGTTTGGAAGGTCACACTGGATAACACCCTTCTCACAGTCTGACCCGGATTGGGGATTGAATGTAATAGGAAGGAAGCTTACAAAATTTCTATCATGAAGTGATGTGTTTCACTCCTACAACCCGTCCTGTCTCAAAACCTGGTAGCTGGGATCAACTGCTACACAGATTGTCTCTCATTTACTGTCTATATTAATTTTAGCTGACAATGGAAAGTACTGTATTCATCTAAATCATGTAATTAATTTATGTGTCTTTCTATTCATCATCATCAATATTTTACAGCCCTGTTTATATAACCCAATGATTAAACACCCAAACCCCAAATGGCAATTAGGTTAGGTTAGATATTGTTGACATTAAAGAGTTTAATCCTCAGGTAAAATATCTATTGGTTCCTAATCCTCATGAAATTCTTTAAATTCTCTGTTGAAGAATCTGTCATGAAACTACAATAATTGCCTTGTAACCATATTAGTTCTGTGAATGTTTGGTGCCTGGCAGAGTGTTAGGTCATAATATGTTTTGTAAATGTTTCAAGATATCCATCTGTTTTTAGTAGTGTTCATACCAGAGGGTATCATTAACACAAACAGTAATGCAATATACATAAAGGATGGTACTGTAACACTTCCCTTATAGTGAGCAAAAAAAAAATATATATACATACCTATACAAAAATTCTAACCTATCACTGTTTACTCCAGTCACTCAATGCTTCGAGGGTGATTAACTCTCTTCAGTCATTTTTCTTTTCCAACACAATTTCATTACCATTATTAATTTTCTATACCGTTATTAATTTTCTTACCTGGTACAAGAATACGATCAACTTCCTCATAGAACTTTGGCAGATCAAACCAGTGACAAGCTTGACCAGCAGTGACCAGCTGCAGGCTACACTCTGAGAAAGGCAGCTTTTCAGCACCACTCACTCTGAACAAACATAAATTCTAGATAAAACATTAGTTCAAGTTCATCATATCTGAAGAGTTAAACGTAAGTTCACAACCTAGGACTCATGGCTGCAATTCATGAGTTGCCAAGAAGACAATGGCCATATGAACTATAGTTCAAATAAATCAAACTGTAAGAGTGTGTTGAACTTGAACACTTGTGTAATACTATGGGCAAAGAAAAAAATAGAAATAAATGTAAATGAAATACAAATGTAAATAAAAATAATAGATACTGTACTCACTTGAAGAAAACATTTGTTCCTGTGCCTAGTTTAGTGGCTTCAGTAATCTGGGCCTGAGAAATATCAAGACCCGTGACAGAGGTAAAATGTGGGCTGAGGATGTGTGTACTTTGACCAGAACCACATCCGACATCAATAGCAGCTGTGAAGGGTCCTTGATACTAAAAAAAAAAAGGAAACAAAATATTAGAAAAACACATTCTGCTGAAAGGTGAGTTCAGATTGAATGAAATGAGTCACACCATTTGAAAATTTTAGAGCCAGGAGGAAGAATATTGCAGTGGAATGCAACAAGTGAGCAGGATTTGCTTTTGACACAGAGTACTGAGGTGTAGCAGGACGGCTTACACAAGTGAAAAAGAAGAAAATCAAACATGAAATAAAAGAACTCTCTAAGATGAAATAATACATCGTTCTCTATGCCCTTGTCTTCCAAACTAACCATCAACAGTACTGTACAGTACTTCTATACATCTCTGCCTTTCTTCTCTTACAACCATACCAACTTAGTACCTCTCACTTACCCTCAATAATTCATACCTTTATCCCCTGCAGCCATTCTGATCATGTTATACACTGCAGTATGCATACCGTATAAAAATGGACAACCTTGCTTATTTCAATAATGCTAACCTAACCTACCCTATGCAGGTAGTGGTAGGTTAATCTCCAGGTGAAATAAGCTAAGCTACCTATTATATACACTTTATCCAAAAATCTGGTATTTCTCATCAATAATGATATCATACACTGCACTGGGTTTTGAAAAGCTCAAATTATCATTTCTTAATTTATTATGAATATGCACTCACCTTCTTTAAGGAATGTCAGGACTCTATCAATAAGAGACGCAGGAGGCTGAGGCCTAAATTTGGCATATGAGGTCGATGTACTGCTCCCTCAAAGAAGCGGTTTATGCTTCTCTGCTTGTGCTTATACCTGTAATTTTAGTTAACCCTAAATATATATACCGGTATTTTTTGCTAAAAGTCACTGTAAAGTGGGGTTTCTCACACCTGAGGTAAAATACACCCAAAATGGAAGACAGTAATGGGTTTCAATGAAAATTTAAAACATTCATGTTCCTTTCAGCCTTACTGTTTGTTACTGATTATATGTCAGTTCTTGAGAAATTAACTAAATTATTTTATTGTAAAAAAATATATATAAACCCACATATTTTTACACACTTGTACATAAAATATCGTTAAAGAAAGATCAGATCGAAGGGCAGCTACTAGGACAACATGGTAAGTTTAGTTAGGCAAAGTATGGAAAGGCTGCTGGGAAGCACTTGTTAACGTTGAAGTGTCACATGTTGCACTCTTGGGTGACGGAGCATGTTATAACACGAACTAGGTAAAGCAAAAATTACGAAAACTGCAAATCTACCACCTGTTTTGGGGTATACCTGAAGTAAATAAGAAGTTATCTTCTACAGAAATGTTTTTGAAAAGTTGTTGGTTAACCCAGACCTATTCAGGGTATTACCAAACTAAGCAATATATACCTGTACAACCAAAATTAAACAAACTTATTCCGATTATTTTCCTTTTGCTCAGGTTTTGGTCCACTATACTGTATAAAATATTTAGATGTTTTTAATTAATTTTCAACATTTTCTTTAGGGTAAGTTTGTTGTCAAATTACGAAAAAGCTGTGGGAGGTCTTATGTAAATTTCACCTATACAGTGTAATTGGATGATCCATTTCACATGCTGTCAGAACTAATTTGGTCCCCAGTCAAAGACCATAATGGAAATAAGCTTCAAAAGCCACCCTAGGACACATATTGTTTTTCCCTGTTTGTACGACTTCACTGTTTATGTCCATGCTGAAGCACTGTGAACTTGTAAGATGATTTTAATTAGTACTGTACTATTAATTAGTACATATTCATCAAAGGATCACCTGAGCTGTTACCAAGACTTAAGTGCAGGTTAGGTTAGGTTTTGATTTGTTTGATTAGGTTAACATTAGGTGGTAAATCAGGTGAAATATGCTGGGGTGCCAATCTTCAGGTGACCTCTGAGATCACACCTGCAACACGACTCACCTGAGCTGCTGCTAGGACGAGAGTACAGGATGATAACACCTTTACCTCATTATATCACCACCGCCATGACTCTATGATGCCGGTTCTAATATTACAATGTAGAGTTAAAACACCATAGGTTGATACATTTTAAGGGCAAGTTCAAGTAAAAGTGATGAGCTGCAATAAGTTTGTTTACTTCACAAGAAAGTCTTTGTTTACCGGATGTGGCAACACCTTTAAGTTGCCAGCTGCTGTTTGTGTCCCGGCGAAAAACAATACTGTAATAGATAGCTAGATAGATATAAAACATTGATTGATATACAGTTTATGTTTATATAGATTGATGGGTAGATAAAGAGATTGGTTGATGTAAAATTGTATAGATCCACAGTCAAACCGCCCTACAAGTTTACAAATTAATAATAATGATAATATAAATAATTTCACTTATTGAAGAACTCAGGTGAAAAAAATAAAACGTCCACAGGCTTCGACTCCGATGGAGATAACATACATCAATCCAGCTACTTGGCTGAAATTTCTTAAAACTTTTTAAATAACTTTTCCATTTATTATAGGATACAAGTAGTTGTATAGGCACGATCTCGCCTCATTATCCGTTTTTTTTATTCACGATTTTTGGTCTTAGTACAGAGAGTGTAAATCCCGTGCGAGCAAGGAAAAGATTATGATTGAGATAATGATGGTATACATTGGCCATGACCTCCTCACCTACAGGGACGATCTGAATAAACTTGGCTCGATAAGTAAATATAGGCCTGCTTAATTATGGATTACCCAATTAGATTAAATCGACTAATCAAATCTCAATAATTAATCTTTCGTAAATAGTTCTAAGTAGAGTATTTCTTTTGTTCTAAGATAACTGCAGTCCATCTTCCGTTCATCAGTAGTCTACGTGGAACACAGTGGAAATAAGGTTTACTGATACTTTGTGTTATCCTCTGTAAATTTGTGTATGGGTAAAAAATCTGTTTTATCCCAATTTCCATAATTGGTATGAGATATTATTTGTATAGTTTATTTTGGTGTTTTTTAATGACCTAACAAAAAAGAATCCCAGTGATAATGGTAAAAATCCGTAATACCTAGTGGGATAAAACGAAATTAACCTTTGTGTATGTGTGGATGTAATGTATGAAATTTTATCCAACTAATTTATATCAAATCAACTAACAGGACAGTGTGTGGCGGCGTCTCCAGCCTTCATAGTGACAATTGGTGATCAGGAGGGAATGTAGAGCACAATGGGTCGTGTGTGAAGTAACCCCACGTACTTGGAAGTCACTTTTATAAGGTGAGTCACTGCCCTCAGGAATTCTCATTATACAGGTGTCTATAAATTATCTGACGAATTGTAAAACCTAAATAACCTTAAATATATTACAGAATGAGGAGGTCTACTAATACAACAACAAAATTTTTCGTTCATCCAGCCCAATAAAAACAGTTTGTTCTAACCTTTAATGCTTTTGAGGTTATTGAAATTTAACATGGCTCAAATGATTTATGGTCACCTTTTCATGTCATAATGTAAGTAGAAAGAAAAAAAAACTTATGGTTTGCGTTTATCTGACGCTAACACTAAACTTAATCTAATCTAACCTAACTAGTCACCCAGGTAGCAGTAGGGTGTTAATTAATCATCAGGTGAAATAAGCTTGGGGATAATCTCAGGTAATACGAATGAAGGTGAATTAGTGAGTCTAGTGAGATGCCGAACACAATTAGTCCAGTGTCCTCCTTCCACCACTACACACCACCTGCCTCCACTACTAGCCACCACCACTTCCCTCCATTACTAGCCACCACTACCTCCCTCCACTACTGCCGTCACCCTAACCCTCACTACTAGCCACCGCTACCTCCCTCCACTACTAGCTGTCACCCTAACCCTCCACTACTAGCCACCACAACCTCCCTCACAACTAGACACCACAACCACAACCACCCTCCACTACTAGCTACACCTTCCCGCCACTACTAGCCACCACAACCACCCTCCACTACTAGCCACCACAACCTCCCTCCACAACTAGCCACCACAACCACCCTCCACTACTAGCTACCACAACCACCCTCCACTACTAGCTACCACACCTTCCCGCCACTACTAGCCACTACACCTTCCCGCCACTACTAGCCACACACCTTTCTTCACTACTAGCCACTACACCTTCCCGCCACTACTAGCCACTACACCTTCCCGCCACTACTAGCCACTACACCTTCCGCCACTACTAGCCACTACACCTTTCCTCCACTACTAGCCACCACAACCTCCCTCCACAACTAGACACCACAACTTCCCTCCATACAGGCCATTACAACGTCCCTCCATACTAGCCACCACTACTTCCCTCCACTACTAGCCACCACAACCACCACCTCCACTACTAGCTACCACAACCACCCTCCACTACTAGCTACCACACCTCGCCACACTAGCCACCACAACCACCCTCCACTACTAGCCACCACACCTTCCTGTCACTATTTATTAAACTTGTGAGTATTGTAATTAAAGTTTTCTAACATACAAAAGAATTAATAAAACCTTCCTTTGATGACCACAGCACAACGCATTTCACTTATACCTAACCTAACCTAACCTCTCACGTTCAGACTTGGCTCATTGTCACTGATGGTAACATTATATCATTATATAAGTATAATTCGCCCTCATTCTTCTCTTTCTTCTCCACTCCTTCCCGTCCTCCTCCTCGGCCCCCCCTCCTCCTCCTCCTCCTCCTCCTCCTCCTCCTCCTCCTCTTCTTGCTACTTCTTCTCCATCTCCTCCCTCAGTGTGAGAGTGTCAGTGAGGGTGTCAGTGTGAGAGGGAGGATGAGATAAGTGTCAGTGTGGGAGGGGATGAGATAGGTGTCAGTGTGAGGAGGGATGAGGCAGGGACGTGGGTGTCAGTGTAGTGCGAAGGAGGGTGTCAGTGTGAGGAGGGAGGATTCAGCAGTAATGCCACAATCGTGTCTTCTCCACCAGTGCGCCTCTCCACCACCCTTAATCACACACCTCATATTGGCTCCTCCCTCCGTGAACCATTCCTCCTCCTCCGTGAACAATTCCTCCCTCCACCGTGAACCATCCCTCCTCCTCCGTGAACCATCCCTCCCTCCCTCCCTCCCTCCCACCGTGAACCATCCTCCCTCCTCCGTGAACCATCCTCCCCCCACCTTGAACCATCCCTCCCCTCCTCCGTGAACCATCCCTCCCTCCCCCGTGAACCATTCCTCCCTCCCTCCGTGAACCATCCCCCCCCTCCTCCGTGAACCATCCCTCCCTCCCACCTTGAACCATCCCCTCCTTCCCCCCCCCTCTTTGTAGAAAGAAGAGGTGGAAGAAGAAAGTTATAGTTTGGATTTTGAGAAATTTAGGAGGGTAGGAGAGGGGCGGGCTGACCTGCTGCTGGGTTAGCTAAGCTAATAG